AATTTTATTGTAGGATAGATGTTATAAATATCTCCATGTTATTAAAAAAAGGGACTACTGAGTCTGATATGGTTGAGAACCACAATCTTAAACTAAGTTCTTTGAAGGCAGATGTATTTTTTACAGCACCATGCACCAACTAGGTCCTCAATATTTAATTTCACCTTGTTGCAGTTTCTATTTATGCTTACTCAGAAACCCTTACTTGTTCTTCCGTTATGGAAGTCCCACTTTTGATCCAGTGTCCACCCTCATGCAGGCAACTTGGGTAAATATGATCCAAGTCAGTGGTCTCATTCCCTTTCCAGTGATTAGACAGGATTAGAAAATAGCCTTTTGCTGAGGAACAACAGGTAACTTTCTCTGGACAGTGTTGGTTTATACATGACACCTTTAGAAAATCATGGTAGGTATCTTTGATCACAAGTATTAGCCCACAGAGAAAATGCTGAGAATGACAGGCTCGGAAAGATGGAGGGAAACCGGTTCTTGATATGTCTAAACCCTCTGAAGTGCTTGTTACATTTGGCTTTTTTCTTATTGCCAACAGCAAGCATCCTGACAACCCTCTTCACAAGCAGTTGTGTTACTAAGAAATTTTTAGGTACATTACATCCAATCCTGGTCAGAATACTATGTAGGGGTGATGTAAGTGACTCTCTCAGCCACTAATTTAAGTGACTTGTATAATAACTAAGTCCCAGGCTTAGCTGTGTAGGGTTCATGGGAGACTGATTTTACATGGACAGTGACCTACAGTTTTGCTGTCCAAATGTGGAAAACAAGAACACTTCTTGTGCTCAATTCCACCCTTTCATATCACCGCTTCTCAGGTTAAGTTAATTTGGATGTTAAGTGAATTGTCTTAATTCCTAGCAAAGCCTGGTGATACAATATATATTGTTTCAATGCATATAAAAATGAATTGAAGGAATAAGCAAGGGCTATCTTTTGGTAAGTTTTACCTAGCAAGTNATAAAACAATGAGTTTATGTAAAAGGAAAGTTGAATATTCTGAACTCTCAAAGGCAAAAATAGCTAAAATAAATTGCTGCTAAATTAGTGGCAAACAGAAATAATAAACAAGGAAGAGCACTTAAACATAAAACATAGATTCTGAACTCAGATTCCTTTGTAAATGCTTTAAGTTCACACTCCACTTTCAAGAAACCATGAGGTAGAATTGGGTGTCTTAGACCAGTGGTTCTCAACAGGCTGGTACTGCCCCCTAGGGGTTGTTTTCCAAACTCGTGGGGGCGTTTTCGGTTGGGTTTCACTACTGGTATTTGGTGGACTGGAGACAAAGACGTGAGGCTTCCTGTAATGGCCTGCATAACTTTATAAAAGTCTCACTGAGTATTCATTTAGGTCAAAAGCCTGCTTTTTCCCTCAAGGAGGAGCATAACTTCTCACATCTTAGGTGTGGGCTTCACATATATGATTTCCTTCCATAGAGCACAGTATGGAAACGGGGCCAGAGGGAAAACTTCAGTGGAGAATCCTGACAAGCACCACTACAGCCAGGTGATCAGGGTCAGCATCATCAGCGATACTTCATGTAAATAGCATGTACCTTTGATAAGATGTAATGAGAAGGGCACTTCGCCTCTGTAGTCTTCCTCCTAAAACCCCATAACTCCGGTTTCATCATGAGAAAAAATTCAGAAAGTCCCACCTGAGAAACACTGTGCAAAGTATCTGACTAATACTGTTCAAAACTGTCAGTTATCAAAAACAAGGAAAGTCTGAAAAAGTATCATTCTAAAGGAGGCTAAGCAGACATAATGACTCGATGTAAGGGGGTATCCTGGATAGGACCCTGTAACAGAAAAAGTAGGTAAAATCTAAGAAAATCTGAATGAAGTATAGACTTCAGTTAATAATAATGTATCAGTACAGGTTCATTGATAGTGACAAATGTACCATACTAATAATGTAAGATTTATAAAATAAGGGAAACTGGGTATGGGGTATATGGGTAAATCTAAAACTACTCTAAAATTTTTAATTATAAAATGCAGACTTGCAACTAGCAGTTAAGTCCTGGAGAGCTAATGCACAGGATAGTAATTATAGTCAACAATACTGTATTATGAACTTCAAAATTGCTGAAACTGTATTTTAACTGCTCCCCCCACTACAAAAAAATGGTAATTATGTGATGTAATGGAGGTATTAGCTACTGCTGTGTGGTCATCATTTTGCAATATATAAATGTATCAAATTAACATATTGTACGCCTTAAACTTACACATTTTGTGTCAA